ATCACTTGCTGATTTCAGTAATTTTATTATTTACAATATTACATGTATATATTTATAATATTTTATGTATACCGTTAATTTGTAATATTGTATTTGTTCAAACTTTATGGCCAGGGGCCAGTTTCACGAAGCAGTTACGCAAACACTTACGAACCTGTACATTTTTTCTCAATTTTTGGCGGCTTTGTTTACAATTATTAAACATTTAATGACCTCCGAAGCACCAAGATGCTGTTTATAACAATAGCAACAGTTGATTGGGAAGTTTTCATGCTTGTAAACTGTTTAATAAACGTACCCAAAGCCGTCAAAGATTGAGGAAAGATGTACACGTTTGTAAGTACTTGCGTAACGACTTCGTGAATTTGGCCCCAGGTACTTAGCATATCTTATGTTGTCCAGGAGTTCTGTACCGTCGACCCTTGGTGTCCCAGGATGGATGCCACCAGTTTCCAGTTACTTGCTTTATAACACCGATTTATTATTTGCTTGTATTATTACAAGGAATTCTCTGCCTAATTTCTGGCTTGCAGTGATATACACTCACTATTACTAATTCCTATAGATCTACATTTCCATATTACACTATATATAGTGTCCGTATAGTATCACTGAGGGACGTGCCCTGCGGAGGCCTCATGGCTTGTGTGAACACAGCCTCGCCTAGACACAAACACAGCTAGCGTGAACCCGTCTCTCACCACTATTCTATATTTCTAATATTTAATATTTTTAATATTCTATGCACGATTCTCCTACACTTTCAACTTATATGTGTTGTGTTGCCCGTTCCACTTCACTGTTCCACGTATCATGGCTTTATCAAATGCTCCTTGTAGATCAACAAAAACTCTACAATTGTTATCCATATTAGACAAACACTTTAAGAGACAATCCGCAGTACTTTTGCCTTTGATAAAACCAAAGAGATTACTGGACATGTTATCACCTACAAGGTAGAGTAGCCTATTTAACAAAATCCTTTCCATCATTTTACAAAAGCAGGATATTAAGGAGACAGGGGCTGGATTCAGGAAGGTACTTACGAAGGTTTTTCCTCTTAGCTAAGAACGTTTTCCGTCTTAGCGCCTTCGTGGCGGCTACGTCCGTATTCAATTAACTACCGTAAGTGGAAAAACCTCGTAAGTTCATTCCGGGATTTAAGTGTGGTTTCGACCACTCGTAGCTTTACGTAAACTGGATATAAGTCATTTTTTCTCTACTACATAACACTGGGATCGATTTATGATATTGGAACATGACCAAAATATTATATCTGGTAAATCTAGTGAAGAGGAATCCTTCGTGTTAGTTATATATGCATTCTCTGCTTGAAACTTGAAGTAAATATGTGTTTGATGATAGTAGAATTAGTTTTATAATAGCAAGATATTATACCAGTAGTTATTAAGTAAATAAACACTGGTGAACATGAAATATGAGAGAAGGTGATGAGCCCTGCCTGATGGGATCATTTACTATCACCAAATGCCCCTGTTCACCTAGTAGTAAGGGTGTACCTTATCTATACATACCCATTTCTAATTTATTTAGTTTGGTTTTATTTTGAAATTAAATCTGAGTGAGACATAAAATAAAAATATGCTGCACAAATGATGTTAGGTAAGGAAAAGGGTAAAAATGTCACAAACTTTATTCATTGAATACTTAAAGCTATAATTATGACTATATAGACTATTAAAAAAGAGAGAGGGAAGTAGGGGTCCAAGACCTCTTCCTGTTATACAATTTGGGTGTGGAACAAGTAATTATCAAAAGAAGAAACCATGCCGGGAAGGCTATGTAGCAGTAAGGCAGTGAGGTGAGGCAGCTACTTATTTGAGAAATGCTTATTTTATTTACCATATAAGCTGAGGCAACTTATTTTATTTGAGGAATACTCAGCTGATTCCTCTACATTTAGCATGGAACAAATTTGTGTCCAAGACCTCTTCCTGTTAATCAATTTGGCTGTGTGTAACCAAACTAGAAGTGCTCTACAAATCAAGGGACCCAGAATGTGGAATGACCTCCCGAATCATGTCAAAGGCTGTACCTCTCTCAACCAGTTTAAGAGTTAAACCAAGTACTGCCTAATTAACTCCATGTAACCTAACTTACCTCCTCAATGTCAACCCATGTCTTGCTATTTTTTAAACAACGCTGTTCACCAACATGTGTAATTGCTGATTTATGCTATGTTAACCCCCCTTTTTGTATTTTTTATTCCTTCTTTCAACACAATTTATACCTCATCCCGATTACTATTAAGTTTTAGTCTGTGTTTTTTTCCCCCACACCTTGCCCGAAATGCTATGAGTATTAGTGGCTTTAGGTATTGTATGTACTAGCTCTGTCTATAAATCCAACATTATGTTTGTAAATCAACTGTATGTACTTTTCCTGAATAAAATGTATTTATTATTTATTTTTTAATCAGTAAGTATTAAAAGAAGGCACCAAGCTGGGAAGGCTATGTAGCACCATTGTGTGTAACAATAAACCAAATTTTTTTTTAACAAATAATGCACCTGTAAGGAAAAAATTCTGTCAGCTGTAAAAATATTGATGCAGTTATTTAAATGAAAAATATAATGAAAGAAATATTACTGGTTTATTTTTATCCTATCTTTTTGTACTGTACAGTATATCCAAAGAAGTGAAAAATTGAGACATAATGCACAATTTAATGAATGATTAGCATGGATTAGCAGTTCAAAAGAAATATGACTATTACATTTGAACATGAGATCTTAATGATCCATGGTCAACATGATTTAATAAGGATAATACAGTACTGAATTTGTAATAATACAAACTATAATTTAAAATCTTTATTACTGATTTTTTTTATTAAGAAGATTAGGCATACACAGCAATGTACTACTACCCTATTCTATATGGAATATTACACAGTGTAGATAAAAAACTAGCTATAAGTTTATCTAATACTCCCATCTCACAGGATGGTTAGACATACTGTACATGGAATCAATTTAGAAAATACCAGCCTCAATACAAAAAACAAATCAACTCTGACTAAACAACTCTAAGCAATTTTCACAAGAGGTAAGCACTGAATCATGGAAACATTATATTATAATTACTCTTACCAGTTTCTACAAGACTCCTCTCAAACAATGTATTTTTAAACATGTTTAGGTATACACAGCAATGTGCTGCTTATCTATTCTGTATGAAGGACCACACAGTGTAGATCAAAAACCGGCTACAAGCTCATCCAACATCCTCACCTCACAGGATGGCCAGTCATACATGGAATTAGGAGAGAACAAAATACTTAATGCTGATCTATTAGCCTCCACTGGCAAAATCTGGGTGCAGCACAAGAATATTTTCCAATATTCCTGAGTGTATGAAGTAATTACAGAGCTCAAAATACCTCATACCATTTGGTATGAAGTCACTGATAACAGGACAATCACAGATATAGTGTTGGAGAGTATGTTCTCTCAAGTAGGACTGAAAACAGATGTTTTTTTTCCACCAAGAGGGCTATAAACCCATGGAACCGCCTACCCGCTGAAGCCGTAAATGCCAAATTCCAGCTAAAAAATATCATTAAGACAATTGGCGGGCCCTTTAACAAGCCGCCGGCTTTCTGTTCTCTTCGAGGCCACTAGATAGTTAGTGGCCCTTGGGTTCTTAGAATTACGTAGGTAAACTCTTAGAATTACGTAGGTAAACAACAATGTAACATATTTGTTTACTACAATGTCGGTGCTGGCTGTAGAAGTTGAAAAAACATTGTTTTACTTCGAAATATAAAATTTCTTCCTAAGTGGACCTTATTGAATCACACCTAAGCATCTTCTTAGGGCGCACTTAGGAACCTTCGTAGCAAACCCACTTACGAAGAAATACACAGAGCTTCCTGAATCGGTTAGGCTCCATTTAGATTATGCAGTTCAGTTTTAGTCGCCGTACTATAGAATGGATACAAATTCACTAGAACACGTCCAGCATAGGATGACAAAGTTAGTCCCGCAAATTAGAAACCTCTCATACGAAGAAAGATTGACAAAGTTTAAATTGCATTAGCTGGAAAGGCGAAGAGTTAGGGGTGACATGATAGAGGTGTTTACTGGTTCGGTAACAGGATTGTTGATTTGTGGAACCATTTACCGCGTAAAGTGGAAGTGGGGTCCGTTAATTGTTTAAAGCGTGGGCTGAACAATACGCTATGCGTATTAGTGGCTTTAGGTATTGTATGCACTAGCTCTATAAATCCAACATTATGTTTGTAACACATCATCTATGTATGTACTTTTCCCGAATAAAAATTTGAATTTTGAATTTGACATGTATGTGGGTGGGATATTGCGTGGTTATAAATAGGAGATGCCTCGTATGGGCCAATAGGCTTTCTGCAGTTATCTTTAGTCATATGTTCTTATGTATTAGGTGATAGGAAAGGTGCCGAAGCTGTACATGCCAAAACTGTTAAATATTAAAATCCAGCTGGAAAAACTCATCACGGTAAATAGGAACAGCCTCGTATAGGCCAATAGGCCTTCTGCAGTTACCTTAATTCTTATGTTCTTATATAACATAATGATGTTATATAAGAATATAAGGTTCAGGTTCATGATACAGGTTCAGGAGCTTGTACACCAATTGAATGACAGCTGAGGGGCGGGACCAAATATCAAAATCAAAAATCAAAATGTTTATTCAGGTAAAGTACATACATACAAGGTGAGATACAAACATTGATGGATTTATTGATAGAGCTAGTATATACAAAGCCTAAAGCCACTATTACGCAAAGCGTTTCGGGCAGAAATAGTCGAAGCTCAGCCCCGTAAGCACAACTAGGTGAGTCCATTGGCATGACCATTAGGGTGTGCGCCATCTATATTTTGACAGCAGCACTACACATTAACCCCGCGTTATTCTATATACAATACATGAGTGTTATGGTCAGTTGCTAGTCTATATATGTTTCTGGACAAAGTAAGTGATGTGAGGCTTGTTGCGGGCCAAGATCGGTAGTAACTGTTTGTATTGTGTTGGAAGAGGATGTATTGGCCAGTGTGGTAGACTAGCGGGTAAGTAGTGAGTCTTGTAGCTTTTTAAAGCGCGTCTTTGTAATTCTTTTGTGCTAATAACCAATTTTAGGCTGTTTAGGTTTTGTTTGAGATTTATTTAATGGGTATCGCTAGTAATAAAAAGGGGGGGAGGGAAATTGTGTAGATAAAAGTAAATTACCTGTGTAAGCTACATACGGTTTGAAACATAATTGCTCGGATCGTTATCTTGCGGAATAACTGAAGCTTTTTTAGGGTTGATGGATGTTAATCTTCGTTTGAAGAGCTGTTAACTTGACAGTTAAGGAAAGTTCCAGCTGTGTCTGGGTACAAGTGACAGGATGAACCCAGCGGGTTTTCTTCCTCTAGGCGAGTGTTGTACATGCTGCTATGGCGGTGTCCACTCAAAAGATGAGTGGCGATGTCCAATAAACTCGCCCCTCGGGGCAAAACTTAAAAAAAAAAAAAATTAAAATGTGCCAGAACCCCTAGTGACCTTGAAAAGGCCATGTAGTAATGGTCTTGTCAATTCCCGCACTTTTGAAAGCGGTTTAAACAGTACGGCTTCGGCGGTTTCACAGGCTTATACCTATGTGGGAACATGTCCTAGCAACCACGTTAGACGCTTAATCTGATAGTTTTGAGCTTTTAAAAAGCCTCTTCAGCAGAGGCCGTCCCTTTAATTACGCTTAACGTGCGGCTGGAGTTTTTAAGTGTACTTCTCGGTTAAGGACAAAGACAAAAGGTCATGTATCGAATAGATTAGGGAAAGTTTGAGGTCTATCTAAAACTGTCAGAAGTGATAACGGAGATACCTAGGTTTTTATTCTGTATTTACTAAACATTATCAGCCGAACAAGACTTTGGGAGTACAGGTTGGCTAATTCAGCAGTTACCAGGGATGGTGGTTTATTTAAACAAATGGTAACTCTAGTCGGATAGTTTTTGCCAGGGTGCTTAAAAAAAGGGCAGCTTTGATAGGTTTATCACTTATTAGTCAGGCAGTACTAGACGTGTGAAGGTACTAATGTGGTAACAGTTTCAAAGGAAAACGAAGATTTTAAAGAATTTTTTTATAAATTCTAAGGTTACCTGATCAACAAGGCTGTGACTCGTACGTCAGGCTGCGAGCAGCCAAGTCGAACAGCCTGGTTGATCAGTCCAGCAACCAGGAGGCCTGGTCGACGACCGGGCCGCGGGGACGCTAAGCCCCGGAAGCACATAAAGGTAAGGTTTAATTTCCTCGTCAAATTAACGGCCAATTAGCTTGGTCTATTGTGGGAAGTTACTTTAATCTTAAAACTACAAATACTTGTATTCCTCTTGGAAAAATCATACATAAATTGCATAGTTCTACTATTAGCTGTTAATGATGTAACACTTGCGTAGTTGATGTGATAAGGTTTGTGATAAGGTTTGTGATGTGTACCATGACTTTAGCAAAACTTTTTTTGATAGTGCCAAATGGAAAAAAATGATAGGCTCAAAATATTGGGTGATGTATGAAGTTTAGAGCATTGCTATACCAAAGTGGTTAGTATAAATGGTGTTAAAGGAAATATTGTTGGTGCCTCAAGGCTGTTCTGGGACCTCGGTTGAAGATGGAGCAGGAATAATTGCAGAATTGCAAAATAAAAAAAATCGGGAAAGAAATACGTGCTATCACTTGGAGGATGGTTTTGAAATGGTATAATTGCCAGATGCAGTCTAATGCTGACAAATACAGGTTTTGAGGCTAGGAAATGATAGTACAGATAAGAGCTAGATGGTGTGGATTACAAGAGGGACCTGAGTTTGATAAAAAATGCATAAATGCATAATTGGGGGCAAATGGGACAGATTTGTCAAAGCACTAGTAATAAAATGCCTGGTATTCTCCAGGTATCTTGCTCTTGTTAAAGCCCCATTTAGGTGATGCAGTTCTGGTTGGCATGCTATAGAACGGCTATAAAATAATGCATTCAACGTAGGATGAGTTAACCCCACATTGGTAGTGTTGTATGAAAAGATTGAAAAGGCATAAATGCATGCCTCTAAAAAGGCAAAATTAGTGACATGATAGGTGTAAACGTGGACAAATGGACAAAAGGGAATATTAATGGGGCATTAACAGTATGCACAAGACGACCCCGAAACAAAGGGTATGAATTGGATAGTTTAGCTTTAGGAAAGACCTGGGTAAATAGTAGTTCGATAAAAGGGTTTTGGTTGAACAAATTAACGCGTAACAATGTGGAAGTGGGATCCCTAGATAAATCCACAAGGGCCGTGATGAGGATTGTAACCTGCGTCAAAGAGCATCACTCTGCTTTAATAGACTGAGCACATGATATAATCTTTTACCATGTCGTAGCTCAATCGATTAAGGCAGCGTCTGGGATGCTCTCGGACGCAGGTTAGAATCCTCGTCACGGCCCTCGTGGATTTGTTCATCTAATGCATCACGTTGTGATTTGTGATCCCTAGATAGTTTAAAGCGTAGGTAAATTGTTCAGTATAAGTGGGTGGATATAAGGAGCTGCATTGTGTGGGCCAACAGCCCTTCTGAAGTTACCTTCATTCTTATCTTCTAACCTGCTTAGGCCTAGTTTTAATCGGAAGCTAATATGGCTATTAACTAGAAAGTTAAATTAAAATATTTCAATAGTGAAAGCCAAAGTTGATAACAATGTATACTGTTGACTGAAGTTAAATAGGTGTTGCATCACCATACCAAAGGTTTAATCTTGGTAACCTAGTTTACAGCACTCCTTACTTACAGAACGACAGCTGAAACGGCTGAAACATCGGGAAGAAACGGAGGAGACCAATATTAACAAGACCTCGTCGTGGATAGTTAAGGACAGGGGTCTTGAAGACCTTGACAAGGCGTCCTACAGACGCCCTAAGGACAGCAAATTCATTTGCCGTGTTGGACAAGTGCTGTGGTGAGCCTGCAGTTCACTCGAAACGGAAATCGGCGAGGAGCGGCGAAGCGCAGACCCCTCAGGCTGCTCAGAAAGTTAAGGAGGTACCAACGCGAATTTTGGTTGTGGGAGATTCCCAGGTGAGGTATTTACAGAACGTTTTGTGCCAGAGATAGGAGGAACAGATTAAGGGTTTGCTATCCGGGAGCTGGAATTGGTGATATTGTTGGAAACGTGAATGATATTATGACGGGAAATGGGAACAAACCCATTATTTGTATTAGTGCAGGGGGTAATGATGTTGAACGAGTTAAGAGTGAGGAACTAATAGATTCAGGACAGCCATTGAATTGGTTAGGAACAAGGGAGGAATCCTGATCGTATCACTTTCTTCAAAGAAAGGGAGTGGGTAATGAATGGATGTTGAGGCTACTTGGTGTCACTTGCCGACTGGAAAGATATTGCAAATCAAATGCAATATCTTTCATGCACAACTGGAAACACTTCTATGGAAGAAATGAAATGTATGCTCGTGATGGGGTGCATCTATCGAGAGCTGGGGTTGCTGCTGTTGCGAACTCGTTGGAACCAGTGGTTAGAAGTGTTTGTTTGGGTTTAAACTGTTAGTAGTGTTATGGGAATTGATTTGGAGGGAGGAGGTAATAAAAGTATGTGTTCGTGGGAGAAAAGAATTGGCAAAATGATCGGGGAAAGAAAAGGGCTTCAAAATAACAATTCACTTAGGGTATATTGCACTAACAGTAGAAGTCTAAGAAATAAAATTAACGAATTAAATGCTCTTGTCTGCACAGAAAGATTATTGCACATGCAGAAACATGGATGAATGTAGAAAATAGAGGACTATTAGCTGAACATAAAATAAATGGATTTAAACTATATCAGATATATTAGACGAGGGAGTAGCCATGTATGTTGGGGACAATTTGAAATGTAGTCTCAGAGGGAATAAAAACTGAGCCACCCGCGAACTATTTGGATAGAATTAAAAGAAAGCAAATATTATAATAGGAGTTATATATAGGCCACCAAATTTAGACAGAATGGAAGCAAAGCATCTATGGGATGAAATATCTAGAGCATCTAGATATAATAGTATTTGTCATGGGTGACTTTAACTTTAGTGGAATAAACTGGTTGAACAAAACGGAATAGTGAAGCGGAAGATTTTCTAGAATTAATTGAAGATTGTTTTCTTACGGAACGCATTAAGGAACCAACGCGGGAAAATATTTTAGATTTAGTGTTAAGTAACAGGGAAACACAAATTAATGACATCGAAATAGGGAGTGAGCTAGGGAACAGTGATCAGAGAAGTCAGATTTAGCATAGAATGGAATAGACCTGTAGGAGAAAATTCTGTTAAAGTGCCAGATTTTAGAGAAGCTGATTTTAATAGCCTAAGAAATTTTTTGGGTAAATAGATTGGAAAGTCTTGGGTATGGGGTGTGGGCCGGTCTTGTCGAGACATGAACCCAGCAATAGGTGACGTAAAAGGGGATTTCGATGTGGATTTAATACATAACTTGTTTAAGAATATTCTAAACAAAGCACAGGAATGTAGTATACCATACAAATTGAATAGATCAAATAGTAATGACCCAATGTGGATAACAAATAATTTAAAGAACCTTATGTAAAGAGAGCTTGGTACAAAAGGATTAAGCATGGGGAAGTCGGTTTAGAACAGGAACTCATAAAACTGGTTAGAAATTAGGAAAGCAAAAAGAAACTATGAAGTTCGCACAGCAGAGCAAGTAAAGTAAAATCCTGAAGGTTTTTTCAGTTATATCGAACTAAGACTAGGGAAAGGATAGGTCCATTAAAAACTGACAGGTCAAATAAAGGACAATGACAGATTAGTATTTTTAACAAATATTTTATCTGTATTTACTAAAGATTACTAAATTGCCTTCTGGTGCCCATTTGAAAACTGATCCACTTTGTGTTTAAATGTTTTGAGTGAATTTCATTTCTTTGGTCCTGCATAAATTTACTCAAAATATTCCTAAAATTTGCCATTTTTGTTAGTCTTTAATTAAATTGTATTTGCAGATGGTAAATTGTTTCGGCTGCTACAGCTCTCCAGCCCAAGTTGTTGACTGGCTAGTCTTTGACTGCCTCCCAACATGTTAGTGAGGTCCTGAGCTGATGTACCCTATGGCGAAGAGTGAGGCACTAGTTTCCTGAAGTAATGTATAGCATGAGATGGCACCCATTCTAAACAGCAGCCGGCACCAACTCTGGCCGACGTTGGAGTAGACAAGACCCAGATCCTGTGGGGAGGAAAAGTCTACACTAAACTGTAAAAGGTACAGATAATCTGACCCCCCCCTTGGCAGTTTCTCGGGTACCCCCCCTTTTCCACTTCCTTATTTTGTAAAGCTTTATCTTAAACGGCAGCATAGCTTGGCACTCGTGGCTTTAGTGGGACTGTTCCATTGGATTGTAACTGTGGGTGGGGGAAAGCATCTCTAGTTTTGTTCTGCATTGTAGTGTCTTTAAACCATTTTAATGTTGCACTCAACTTATTGTTCTTGACAGTTTTGCAAACTTAGTTTCAGTGTGAAGAAATTGGTACCATCCTGTCTGACTTGCAATGTACAGTTTTTATTAATAGCAGTTTCATAAAGAATGACTTATTGGCGGATATTAAATATCCTCTAAAGCAGATAAAATAGGTAGTGTCCATACCTTGGTATGATTAGTTGGGCGAATGAGTGTTGTATAATGGCTTTCTAAAGTGTAAACTTTTATTTTCAGGGTGTTGGTTTTTCTCACTGAAGCTACCACTCGTGCAATTTTGATTGGTGATCGTGACTTAGTCCTCCTCGTGATCTACGGCAAGGTAATATTTTTAGCATTTATATTATGCTGCACATGTTAAGCTTTAGTTTTAAATTAGCTTGTCTTCAAATTACATGTGTTGATGACCGTTTTTGTATGGGCTTCATACCCTTCACTTTAACATGAATTGACATCCTTAAGTCAGGCCAAAAAATAGAATATATGGTTCTGCGACGTTTAGTAATTTGTAAGACCTTTTCACTATTTTTAAACTATTGGTTTTTATCCATTGTAAGTTATTAAATGTGCTTTAACTTACCAGTAGTGTGGTAGGTTTGGAAAGCTTTAAAAAATCCATGTATCCAGAGTTGCTGGAGCTCCTATATTAGGAGCTTAATTTGCATGATAGCCTTGTTTATATAATTTTGGGGGAACCAACACTTGAAATATTTAATGGAAATGGTGACTGAATCCTACTTTAGATACCCAAAAATAACCAGAGCAAAGTGTACTTACAAAAGTAGGCAATTGTTCCATTAAATTTAGATAAAATTAATCAGTTTGGTAGTTCCAGGGAGATTTGTGTAGTCAGTCAGTCTTTACTATTGTGAATTGTAGTTTTATAAATTATGGCAATGCTACTTCTTATATTGCGAGTCTTTGCACCTGTTTCCTAAGATTGACAGCATGAGGTGACTCTTCCAGCTTCGGTCTTGAAGTTGTAAATAATTAGGTAATATAACTTTTATTTAAAAGAAAATGAAATTAAAGTGTAGCATAGGCAGGTATCTCCCTTGGGAGGGTTGTCAAACCCATAGATATTTCCTTGTCAAAATACTTTAAAGGTTGTAAGTTGTGCCTATTGTAATTTAGCATTAACGTATTGTCAGTTTTAAAGGGCATGACAATGATTAGGTTTATAATCTAGTATCTTGGCATAGACGACAAATTTGAATCTACTAAAATACTAAATTGTATAATTATCAATTAACATTGATGCACAATGAATGTGGTACTGCAGTTTAATAATTATGGTCCACAATTTTGTTAAATTTGAGTGAATATTTCCAGAAAGTTGATTGTGGCCATACCTGTTGGAGTAGTAAAGACAAACGTTCAAATTGCTCTTCTTGATGTAACCCCCAAGCTGTAGGCTGCTGTTATTTTAAGAGGTAATCTTATTTTACTTGTGGAAAACTGGCCACTGTAATGATTAATCTCTACTCGATATACAGGCTCAATAGTCTCTAGTAAATAGACTCTATTGTCAATGAAGTACACAAGTCTTAGGTGATCCATTGGCTGAGGAAAATCAAAGTTCATTGAAATAAATTTATTGAGGTAAAATCCAACAAGGGATGAGGTAGCTAAGGCAGTTCATAACTTGTCCTTATTGGTAGTTCAGTAATTTTTTAGCTATGTTACATAATACAAATTAAATGGTTGTTAAAATGTTCATTGCACACACCATAATGGCCGTCAGATATTAAATGTCTGACACAACTGTCAGATTAGTTTCACGTCACATCTGCAAGGTGACAATCTTTCATAATTTCACATTCAATGATCTTGTAATATCGACACATTGGTTTTAAAAAACAAACCTCACTTTTCATAGGATCACCTTTTTGATAGTAAGACCCTTCAGCCACCTATCATTCTTGCTGGTGCCAGGTGCCCTGTTCAAGAGTACATCCCCCCCCCCTCACTCATTGTAATAAGCGAGGCAAGTTCGAGCACGGTGCCCTCAAATGCACAAGTCTTCGTTTCTCTCTGCACCATGTGTGGGGACGATAGCCACTCTAAGACGATTGCTCATATCCCCCGGGCTCGCTACCTGCATTGCGGCGAGGCCCACCCTACATTCTCTCGCACGTGTATCGACTCAAAGCTTGAAGTAGTCCTTAACTTGAAACACCAGGATCATTTGACTTTTCCCGAGGCAAGACACGGTTTGCAGTGTCCACCCCTTCACTGGCGTATCTTATGCTCGCACGTTGTTCTACCTCTCGTCCTTCCCACCTTTGTCCCACAACCATTTCTAGGCCTTGGACCCGAACATGCCCACCACCTTCCTTCTTCCTTTACGTCCTGGGTCGGAAGGTATCTCTCGTGAATCTCCTTCTGGATCCCCCCCCCACTTTCGTTTTCCTACCCTGTCTGCCAAGTCATTTCGTTTTCCCCGATCCTTCCTGTCCCTCCCCACTACCTCTTGGCCCTCCACGTCGCCTGTCTGTCCAGGCTGATGTCCATCATCCTCCCAGCAATCTTGATGTTGTTCACTCCCATTCTTCACTTAAGACCCTAGTCAGTCGGCCAGTACGATGTTACTGGAACACCTGTCCGTCAGAAACGTAAGCCTGGCTCCTCTCCATCCTCCTCCCTCTGCGGGTAAGAAAAGAGACGGCATTCCTTTCTTCCTCGCCCCCCTAACTAATGCTTACTCCCCATTTTATTGGTTGGGGCCCCCTGTCCCTAATGTGGAAGTTTCTTTTGGCCCAATTCCCTCTTGGTCGCTGACCTAGAGTTTCTACCTCCTGGCCTTGACACCCCCCCCCCCCCTCCCTGAACCTTGTCAATCTGCCTCTGGTGTCCTGCTCTTTTTTTTTTCCCCCCCTCCATTCTTACTAAGTTAACCCATGGCCCGCTAAACCTTATTCTGATCTTTAGCTTTTTTAATATGCTGTGTTATTTACGTTTTTCTTTGTTCTGTTGCTGTCCTTTTATTTTTTGATAATGTCAATTCCTCAATGGAATATTAAAGGGTTTTATGCTAACTCCCATGAACTCCAACTTCTGTTTAGGTTTCACCACTTTGTCTCTGGGAGCCGATGCTTGGTGCTCGTCGTGATAACTGTCGTGGTTATTCCTTTCTTCCCCTCCCCCCCCCCCCTTTGATCTTGCTGGGGCCCATAACTATATTGGTCTCTTGATTCGTACTGATAATCCCTTTGTCCTACTGTTTCCATGTCCTATCCATTATTTTGCTGGCCATGTTTTTGACTAAAATGTAGTGTTAAATTTTTCCCGCAAATGTCCCTCTTTCCCTTCCTGATGTCAGGAACCTCCTGGACTCCTTAACAGAGCTGGTGTTCCTGTTGGGTTATTTAAACTGTCGACATACCCTTTGGGGTGATGTTGACACACCCGAGGCGGCCTTCACGAACCATTCGTTCTCTTCCCTGTCTTGATCTTTCTCTGATCATCTCTGTACTTGGATATCTCGTGGAGGGTTCATAACCTCCATAAGTGACCATTTCACCATCCTTGTTTTCCCTACTTTTCACCCTCTCCTTCCCTAGGTGGCAGTTTGCCAAAGCTGATTAGAACCTATTCACCCTCCGTGCTACTGTGACCTCTCCTTACTACCTCTTCCTTGCACCCTCCTCGTTTTCATTAGTCTTCGATGCTACCCTCTATTCCTTGCTCTACCTCCCAGGGCACACGGAAGTGCGTTCCCTGGACTGCGGATTGCTAGGGTTGTCGGCTGTAAGTGTGCAGCCTGGAAAAGACTGACGCTGGCAGATGGCTGATTCTTATATTTTGTTTCAGAAAGTGCAGTGGCCTGTTGGACCACCTGGACAGCGAGGCGCGAGAGTTGGAAGTGTTTCCACCATTACGTCAGATACTCCTCTGCCGCAGATTTGGAAGATTTGCAATATTGTGGGTAAGCTCATTCCCTATGACTAGCAGGTGGTAGCAGCAGAGTACTAGCAGAGTACCACCTCTGTGGTACTCTGGTGGAGCCAGTACAGGTCACAACCGAACTGGGTTCTCACTTGTTAGCTGTGGTTCTAATCTTCAAATTTTCCTTAAACACGTTCTTGAATCTCGTGCCTTAAACTTCCACACTCGGTGGTACTACATAGCCTTCCCGGTTTGGTGGGTTTTATACATTTTTACTAAATGAGGTTTAAGTTCTTTACAAGTGGCAACAAATGGCAAATACATTTAGATCCGTGTACAGTTTGCTTATCTATTTAAAATTAAATCCCATTTGATCCGCAAGCAAGAGTGATTTTGCATGAATCCTGGGCGAGTAACTGTATCATCTGTTTAACGGTGTAAAATTGGTACCTAATTAAATTTTTAGTGTTCTGGGGTAACATAGAATAGTTATTGGCCTAAATGGTACGCATGCTTGTGGCTGTACAAGAATGAAAGATCTGTCGTATTGTTTTTTTTGACATAAATAGCAACAACTCTTGAGTTTGCTTGGCATGTTTCAAATAAATGTTACCAGATATATGGGGAGGGGAATCGTAAACTATAAATTTGAAATGCAAATTTTGTAGCATATAAACCTTAAATGTGGACTTCAAAGTGCTCTATCTTCTAATTTATAAATTAGATATGGTGGGGGGGGGGGAAGTAGGTAATGTGTTAGTGTAACTTTAAAATGACAAATATTTTAAAGTTAAACAAAATGAAATTGCTATGCAAAACCTTATTAACCATATTTAATGTTCCATTGACAGGTCCTTCCGACATAACTTCAGGAACAGTTGCAGAACAATCGCTGGAAGTGTTAAATGCTACAGAAAGTAGCATAGTTGTCAGAATTAGAGGGCCAAAGTAAGTTTATTTAGTTTAATAGGTAAAATGTGTTTACATAATTTTTACCTAAATATTTAATGAAATTGTGAAGGGGCCTTGAAATTGGGTAAATTGAAACTAGGATATAGTACCCACTAGTGGGGCCTTAAACTAAAGTTAATTCTTGCAAGAATTGTGCTTTGAATAGAATAAATGGGACTTTAAATTTGTGAATGTAAAGTTGGGCACTGTTAAACGGCATAAATTTGCAAGTTAAAGATTTTATGAAATTTTTTATTTAAATCTTAATTTGTTTGCATGGTTCTTAATTATTTGGCTAGAAGTCGTTCATTTATAAATTACACAAATCACAATGTGATTTTTAATGCACAAGGGCTGTGATGAGGGTTCAAACTTAAGTCGGAGGATCCCAGATGTGCTTTAAGACTGTGCCACAACATGGTAAAAGAATCCCAACTGGGAGGTCTACTGACATCATGGATTTAATCTGTTTGTAGCTTAAAAGGCTATGTTCATAAATTAAAGAATTGAATGATGGTACAGTACACAAATTAAATATTGAATGGTAACTGTACTGCAACTTGGTTTATTTATTTGAAGCTTATATAGATATTGTCTTCCAGAATATTGATGGGAAAGTTGAACTTCAGCCCTGAGTTTGAAGGTGTTAATTGCTTGACATTCTGAATTAGGTGAGTGTGGTAGTAAACATTATAACTTAAACAATCACTCATTATGGCTGAAGATAATCTGAAATGATGCAACATAAATTGCTGACTTTAATGTACTTATGGTTAGTCAAACTAAGTTTAATGTTTTTGCTTGATTAGCATTAAAGGAGAATTCTAACAATCTTAATTGTAAAATCTTGTGTAACAAGCTAATTTTGGTAAATGTTTCAGGTGGTATGGAAGATTACAATGTCATCAAAGCATTGACTGGCTTCAGTGTGGTTGTTCTACTCTGCAAATCTATGAAAGTTGGTATGTGGAATTAAGTGTTTTAGCTATGTCAACTAATTAATTTACTTTCTTTCATCTAGTCCATTTATAGATGTGTACCAAAGTCCTACTGTTACCACCTGCAGGGATTGATGCAGTTTGTACTGATCCTACCCCATTTCATAAAAGGGGACCAGGCAGTCCTGCAGATTTCCCTGGCTTGGCTTTTTCAGAGCCCTGCTCTACTACCCATCCAATAGATGGACTAGATTTGCATAGGTGTAGGGACCCTTAACAATGTGCAAACATTGTTAATCACTACAGGGCTTGTTCACTGAAAGAGTGGATACATCTAGAGGTTTAGTGCCTGGAACATGTACATAGGCTTTACACAAAGCTTATGTACATCATGTTGGGCACTAAACCAAAAGATGTGATGCACTCTTTCAGCCAACAAGTCGTGCTCAAATTGAAGTAAGGGATAGGCCTTGCTGAGCCTATCTTAAAAGATAGGATGTTAGGATTTTTGGTGCTTATTATTAGGCATTGGTGATAATAAAAGTAGTGTCCCTGTTTAATGTTTATTTTTCTTTTACAGGTGATTGTCTCTGGAGTTGTCTTGGCCTTTTGGATCTTCTGTTCATCTAGGAGCATCTGTCCCACAACCTGAAACAGTAATAAATAGTATTTATAATACATCTAATATGTAAAACTTATTAAATAAAACAATTTTAATGAAACTACTTTATATACCTTATCCTGAAATTATGCTGGAAATTATTTTTTACTACTATTGATGCAATGTTTAAACATCTGAAATTTTTTTACTTTGAAAATAAATACTTGGTAAAATTTACATCTATTTGTAACTTGTTACATAGGTGCATGCAAAATGCATTGAAAAGATGTAAAAGTGGACTACCTATTCAATTTACATAGACTAATATATTGCTAATGAATATTGCAAATTAAAGTGGAAGAAACTTTAGTCAATATTTTAGTTTTCATATTTGAATGTAAATTTAAAGCTATGCAACACCTAAGCTTTGTACACATTATAATTAAATTAAAGATCATTGTTAAATTTACAAAACATTAGAAAAGTGACACTGAAGCATCTATACAACATGGTTTTCAGTCTTTGGTAACTTAAATTTAATCAAAGCTCTTAAATGATTTGTCTGCCAAACTTCAGATATTCTGAAATATTTTACCTAGATTAAAACCATTGTTTGAAAGGGCAAAACAGATTACTGTCAATTAGTTTGACCTAACATCTGCAAGGTCCTGAAGGAATGGAATTTTTTTTTGTCAAACTGTTTGCTAAAAACAAACCCTGCCTAATGAACCTGCTCATTTTTTTAGAAATGGTAATTGCAACATTACCAAAGGCCATTGTTTTAATAGCCAAACTACCAAATGAAAGACCAAGAAGCAACAAACGGGTACATGATAGAAAGGACAAAAGAATGGTTACGAGGACCCTTTCATTTGTTAAAGAAATGACTGGGAAAAATGCTGTCATACCACAAGGGGTCTTAACCCTTGTCATATACATCACTGACATTAATCTAAATATTACCAACCACAAAAATTGCTGATATGTTATAAAAAAAATAAAGAATATAATATTGAGGCCTTAATGCAGATCTCTAACTCTACAAATATTAACAAGACTGGCAATTTCTTAATATAAAACAGAAAAAAATCCAAGACCTTGCACGTGAGCCAGAACAATCCATATCACAACTACCACATTAAAATGAAACAACAATGAAGGTAAGGTAATTACCAAGAGAAGGCACCAAACCGGGAAGGCCATGTAGCACCATCAAAGTGCGAAATAATCAGAGGGCGCTAAATATCACCAAGAATGCCAATACGAGAACAAAAACGCATAAGGCGAACGATATCAAAAATATCCGATCCACCTAGAATTCTATCGAGGGACAAGTGACTGTGAGGGACGGTCGGAAAGCAAGACACACGCTCGTTCTGGAAGTCAGGACATTCAACAAGAATATGCACAACTGTAAGAGGGACAACGCAATTCGGACAATAAGGAGCAGGGCGGCGCTCCATTAAGTGACCGTGGGTTAAGCGGGTATGACCAATCCAAAGCAGTGTCCCACCGCCGGTTACGGTGGTAGGCCACGGGGACACACTAAGTTTAAGAGTACGCAGCTTGTTACCAACCACAGAGAACCAACAACCCTGCCAACGGGGAAGAATGAATAACAGGATAAAAGTCAGAATAAGGAATACCTTTACGGGAGATGGGACAAGAACGGATAGCTTCCTTAGCAGCACAATCCGCACGCTCATTGAAACACCAATATGGCTGGGAACCCAGCAAAACTCTACTGATTTAAATTTACTACAAATAAGAAACAGTCAATGTTGAATCTCAATGACCACCGGATGGACAGGATTAAAGGACCCTAGAGCCATGAGGGCACTACGAGAATCAACTACAACCACAAAGGAGGAATGAGAAAGCAAGAGACGAAGAGCATAAAGTTCTGCCGTAAAGATGCTAGCCTCCGAAGGGAGGCGACACATGTAAGTACGGTCAGGAAAAACAACAGAGTAGCCCACACCATCCGCAGACTTAGACCCATCAGGGAAGATGGAAATAGAGTGGGAGTGCGAAGAAAAGTGCTCAAGGAAGAGGCTTTTCAGAATTGTAGGAGGGGTAAAGGCTTTAGTAATACAAGTCAAGGACGTACAAAACTTGGGAAGGGGGACTTTCCACGGAGGTAATGAAGGAACAATACGAGGAGAAACATTAGAAATATGAACAGAAAGAGAATCCTGTAAGCGAGATAACTGGACAGAAAGTGGGAGACAATGAAGAGGAACAGGAACCACAGGAGGAGGAAAAGTCAATGCACGACAGAGGCGAGAGGAAGGATGTTGGAAGGACCGCGCAAGATAGCGAAGACAGTAGCGATCACGGCAGTCCTGAAGAGAGAGAAAGCCAGTGTCAACATACAAACTAAGGGCGGGAGTCGAACGAAAGCCACCAGAGCCGAGACGCAACCCAGTATGGTGCAAAGCATCAAGATGGCGAAGAGTAGAAGGAGAAGCAGAAGAGTATGCAGGGCAACCATAATTGAGTTTAGACAGGACGAGAGAGGAGTGCAAATAGAGGAGCGTGCGCCTATCCGCTCCCCAAGAAGTATGGGACAAAACCTTAAGGAGGTTAAGGGCCTTAGAGCATTCAACTCGGAGGCAAGAGATATGGGCTGACCAAGACAAACGAGTGTCAAAGACTAACCCCAAAAGCTTCGCGGAATCCCTGTACACAATGAGATGACCATAAAGCAACAACAATGAAGTAAAGGTCCTTTCAGTAAGAATCTATCATTCACTGAAAGTTGCTGCAGTTAAAAATAAAAGAAAATACAAGTCCCTAGAAATAAACAAGCAACCTTTTTGACTAAGGAAAAGAAGGTAGTTATTCTACTGTATAAATCTAAGTATTCACTTATATAAATGTATCCAAGCATAGAGGTTCCCCTCCCCCCCCCCCCAACGTCCCTTTCAGAAAAACATCTACTTTCGAAAAAGTTTAACATTGGCCAACAAAAATGATTCCAGAACTAAATTGCCTAATACCAGGAACAACTGAGAGCCATGACAAACACTGCAACCCTCTCCTACCCCCAAGTCTTATGCTATTTATGATCCAAGGTAATTTGAGATACTATACTCTACTTCCTACAGACGAGTCTAGTGAGAGGGTGATCTCCTGGCGATTAAATTGAAGCACGATACAGGTGTCAACGAACATCAGTCAGCCCACTTGTCAGCACAGTGGATAACTAATGACATCATAATCTGCAGTGTTGTATGCCTCCCTGTGGCCATTTAAATCAATAAAACACAGGGTTGTGGCAATGTTTACAGCATAAGGCAAGGTATAGAGGAATCCTGGAATGCCATGTAATGTGTAGTCCTTGAATGTGCTTTAGGCAACCAAATTGAATAACAACATTTCTGGTGTTCGGCTATATAATCCGACTTTCTCATTCGGTATAATGTTTTAAACCTAAATAGGAATTCACTTTAAAGGTCAATTTATTTGGAAAGTGCTAACCAGATTCCAAATTACTGAGCTCTGAAAGTACTACAAGGCAAGTTTAACCGAATGAGTGTTTGCCTATCCATACCCCCATGAGGTATGTGACAACACTGAATAAAGAAAGGGTCTTTGAGCATTCACCGTGCAGGTATTTGACATGACCAATATAGCCAAGTGTTAAAGATCATTCTAAGCAGTTCTGCACAATCCATATACTATCAATTAATATAATTGTACAATGGTGCTTGGTGGATGATATTTCCTATTAAAACTCATTGGACAACTGTTTGTATTAGACATTTTAAACCTACAAATGGTAGCCCTAGATATCGCACTACAGTATTAATTACAAGATGAACAATGTAAAATCAATACCACAACAGCAAAGGATGACGGCTTTTCAACAACCGACAAACACGCAGGTCTAACACCAGCCATCCCGAGAGAGGACGTCCCAAGCATGTACACCCCACAACTTTACATCACCTTTGCTACCTCACGCGAGCACGCAACAGCATGAGGATGCCATACTCCCAAACCAACTCCATGCACTTTGAGGCTTTAACAACTCAACATTTAAAAAGTTGATTTAAAAAATCAAACACCTGAATTTTTCCCTAATTAAATTTACTAGGGAAATGCACACCAAGCCATGAAACTTACAATGAAGATGAACAAACTACACACAACTGTCACCAAACTTCCACATACCACCCCCTCTCACTCCTGCCCTCCCTCCTTAGGTGCTCTGATTGGCTGAGCACCTGAGCCACCACCACTCACCTCTTGTTGTGAGAGCCTAAAGCATGTTTGGTTGCACTTTAAAAGTTCCCGAGTGTACTCGCCTAATTGTGAGTACCGCCTGCCCGGTTCACCATTTTGTTTTTCAATCTACCTCAATTTACCCCTTTACAGTCAAATATTATGCAAAATTCTGTTTAAGACTTGTCCCTTCTTAACTTAAATAACTGCTTTGGCCATCTGCAATCTTTCTAGGTGGGTAAAAATGACTCTTGAGGCCAGAAAGGACTTATCAGACGGCGATCATAACAATACGGTACACACACAAAATCACAACCTGATATACACCAAGCAGAAAATCCACTGGAGCTGTGAGGCGACGTAAACCCTTGCCCAAGGCACTGGCAGCTGCATACTCTACCACAGTATATTACTGACTTTGTAAAAGTCTTACAACCGGATTTCCCCATAAATCACAGCAAGTTTTGAGGCCCCTCCTTGAGTCAACGTCTTACGTAAGACCTACAAGCACTCAGGTGAAGGCTGAAGCAGTTCAACACCATACGCCCCAACTTCAAATACACAGTTGAGAGGCGGGACCAAAACGTGATTTTCTGTGTGTGCCTGAAGTTGGGGCATACGGTCTTGCTTCACCCTTCACTTTACCCTTCACCGGCGTACTTCAGGGGTTTTATTTAATACTTGGACTGGCTTCAGTAGGGCCTCCAGACTTTCTGTGGCTTCACAAGTGTCACGTGAATCCCCTGCATAGCAGTGGAACTGCCTTTTCCCTTCACCTTCAATGCCTCT